TTTCCTGGCAACCATCAAACCCAGACATGTCCATCAGATTGCCAAACAGAGAAGAGTGATTTGTCACTCCAGAGAACACGTATCCATTGCTCTAGAGTCCAGTGGCGGCATGCTTTACACCACTGCATCCGCCGCTTTGCATTGCACTTGGTGATGTAAGGCTTGGATACAGCTGCTTGACATGGAAACCCATTCAATGAAGTACTCTATGCACTGTTGTTGTGCTAATTTTGAAGGCCACCCAAGGTTTGGAGGTCTTTAGTTATTGATTCTGTAGGCAGTTGGCGACTACCGTTCTCCTGACAACCGCCAAACCCAGACACGTCCTTTGGATTGCCAGACAGAAGTGTGGTTTATTACTCCAGAGAACATGTCTCTACTGTTCTAGAGTACAGTAGTGGCATGCTTTACACCACTGCATCCGACGCTTTGCATTGCACTTGGTGATGTAAGGAATGGATGCAGCTCCTTGGCCATGGAAACCTGTCCCATGAAGCTCTCTATGCATTGTTTTGCTAATTTGAAGGCCACATGAAGCTATTGACTCTGCAGACAGTTGGCGACTTCTGCGCACTGTGCGCTTCAGCATGCGCTAACCCCGCTCTGTCATGTTACGTGACCTACCACTTTGTGGCTGAGTTGCTGTTGTTCCCAGTTGCTTCCACTTTGTTATAATATCACTAACAATTGACTGTGCAATATTAAGTAGAAAGGAAATTTCATGGATGGACTTATTGCGCAGGTGGCAACCTATCACGGTACCACACTTGAATTCACTGTGCTCCTTACCCATTCTTTCACAAAAGTTTGTTTAAGCAATCTGCTTGCCTAGGTGCTTGATTTTTTTACACCTGTGGCGATTGAGGTGCCAAACATTCAAGTTCATATCCAGACCATACTGCCTAACTTGAGAATATGCATGGTTGGCATTCATTAGCACTCAGAATTATTAGAATTACTTGATGTTTACCCCAAGGAGGCTATAATATGCTTCTTATACAAGCATCAGTATGGCTGCACACCTTAAATTAATTGCAGATTTTATATAGCCTGCTACACATTATTACAGTTTAACATATTGGAACTGACTCTTTGGCTGACTGTGATATCAGTTTACTACATTTTCTTGCATAGGAACTGTAATGATCAGAGGGGATTTTTATACAAATTTTAACTGTGATATTATCTCCTGTTCAACAGCCTGATTTTATACCCAGGTGTGTTGCTGGGTTTGACAAGTATTCAGCCTTGCTGCTCTACATCAGGTATGTCTGCACTGAAAGTGTGACTATTCTCAAGGCAGAGATACAATATTTGAATTCTCTGCACACGTTTCACTATTTATACAGTATGCTTATACGTTTTATGCAGTACATCTCTATATGCTGAATGAACAGTCCAACAGTTTGCAGCTCCTGTAATGAGTGTAATTGACTGACCCTGTTGGCCACACCTTGCCAAATGTATTTCCAACTTTACAGCCAACTTGGTGTAAGACCTATTTTAATATTTGTTCCATGTTACTGTTCAGATAGCATAAATATTTAACAATGTTGCTTGCTTTTTACTTGCTCTTTTCCGAAAATTCTGAAACTGAAATTTTCTCCTTAAAAGTAATATCAAGGAGGGGGCTGGGGAGTTATGTTTACCATAATTAACTCTGTCTGTACTGTACTGGCAGATCTTCATTTCAGTTGTAAACCAGATGTACACACTGTTTGTCCTAACAAACAGTTAAACATCAAAAGGCTTAGGTGGTATATTGTATGTTAATGTGTTACTTTTTAATCAATTAACTATGGAGATAAGAAATATTTATTTTTTTTTAGGTATTTTGTGTGAATAGGAAAACATAAAAAAACATAATAGGGATTTCACAAATTTGGCTACAAAGGTGGAAAAAAAACTTTAAAAACCACAATAACACCATATTGCTAGAAACTGACAGAGAGGCAGACATGTATTTCTGTGTGCTACGTTTCCGTGATCATACTGTCATTAGACAAATGACTGTGATTGTATGATTGTATTGTAATTAGACAAATTCAGATCCCAGGCAAAATACACAGAGCCAATCAGAATGGCTATGTGCCTTGTAACCACTGTGCTGGCTAATCACAGCAATCACAAATGCAAGCACTGCAAGTGTTTACATTTAAGAGCCCTCCACTTCATTTGTTTGGAAGGAGAATTTTAACAATGACGGATTTATTGAATAAATGCAGCAGCAGATTCATTTGTGGGGGTGGGGGGGTTTAAAGTAGGAATGCACCAATACCACTTTTTTTTAACACCAAGTACTGATAATTTTGAAAGTACTGAGAGATACCGACAGCTGTCACCTATGAAAAGTAGGTAGAGGGGTGGTGCGATACGGGAAACATGCGATTTCGCATGTTACCCCACTGCACTTGGTGTGAACAAGCCCTAAAATGTACTCTGTGAGGCATAGTTCAGTTGCCTGTAGGTTTTAAAGCCCCCTCCCCCCCCAAATCCCCCCTCTTAGCACAAATCCCCCCCCCCTCCTAGCACAACCCCACCACCCCAAATCCCCCATCTAGCACCCTGCCCCCCAAATCTCCTCTTTTCCTAGCACAAATTACTGTATGTCCCTAGTATAGTGACAGCAGCAGTTAGGAGGAGGGAGCCAGGAGAGCCATGGGTAACTCACAACACTCACATGCACCCTATGTTACCCATAGACTACAGGAGATGGTCAGAGACTGCAGACATACTACTGTAGATGGTCAGAGACTGCAGACAGACTACTGTAGATGGTCAGAGACTGCAGGTCTAGTACAGTAGATGGTCAGAGAATGCAGGTCTAGTACAGAAGATGGTCAGAGACTGCAGACAGACTACAGGAGATGGTCAGAGACTGCAAACATGTTGCAGAAGATGGTCAGAGACTGCAGACATATTACAGGTACTGTGGATGGTGTGGTGATAGATGACTCGCTCCCTCCACATCTCTGAGATGCTGCAGATCAGTGTGCACAGCTCTAGGACCTGGGGGAGCATGTCCTCCCTCTAGAATACACCTATTCACTGTGATCCCTGTCCCCTCCCCAACCTCTGGGTGTTTTTATGGCCAGACCCAGACTCCTCTGTTCACTTTCCCCCGAGGACTCTAACTCACATCAGCAGCCATGTCCCGACCTAGACAGCACGCAGGTCCCCTCATACTCCCAGCCAGTCAGCTCAGCAGTGTCCCAGGCCAGACAGCAAGTTCTCTCCTGGCCCCTTCCATTGTCAGCACAAAGCACAAATCTTTAAGGTAAATGAAGAAAGATTCCATCCACAACTGCCGGAAGAATTGTTCAGGATCAGGGGTGGACTGACCATTTGTAAACTCGGGCACTGCCCGAGGGCACAGGGTCAGTAGGGGGCCCCATGAGATGCCCCTGGTACCTTTTTCATAGGCTTTTTTGAGTTTGGGCAAGGACACAGGGGCCCCATGATCCCCTATTGCCCGAGGGCCTAATGAGTTGTCAGTCCGCCCCTGTTAGGGATACAAAGAAATCCTACAGGTAACTTCAGGAGAAATGCAGGCTGCTCTGGAAAAAGACAGCGTGGTTGTTTCAAGCAGCACAATACAACAATACTTGAACAAAAATGAGCTGCATGGTCGAGTTGCCAGAAAGAAGCCTTTACAGTCCCAACGCCACAAAGAAAGCCCGGCTACAACATGCACGACAACACCTTGACACACCTCACAGCTTATAGCACACTGTAATCTGGAATGACAAGACCAAAATTGAGCTTTAGGCTTCTTTCACATTGATCTGTTTTTCTTCCGTTTTTGCGTTAAAAAAAGCTGAAGAAGAACGTGACGAAAAAAAGAAAAATGTGTGAGCATGTAATACTGTGGAACACTTCACACTGAACTGCTGCGGATCCACTGCATTTAGTAAAATGCTGCTTGCTGCATTTTTGGTGTGTTAAAAAAAACATTAAAAATGTGCCTGCCCATTGAAATGCATTGAAAATGTGGCAAAAACACACCCGCATTGCTTTTTGATGAGTTGTTTTGAGTTACGTGTCCTGTGAAAATGCACTGCAAACACGGCAAAAGCCCATATGCATTTTTACCGCATTTTTGCTATGGATCAGTATGAAAGTAGCCTCATGATCACAACCATAAGCGCTATGTTTAGAGACAGGTCAACAAGGCCTATAGTGACAAGATTACCAATTTTACTATGAAGCATGGTGGTGGTTCACTTATATTTTAGGGGTGTGTGAACCCTAAAGGCATGGGGAATCTTGTGAAAATTGATGGCAAGATTAATGTAGCATGAAAACAGCGCATGGAAAGCTCTTGGACTTTCCAGCACAACAGTATCCTTAAGCATAAAGCCAAGATGACCCTCCAGTGGTTAAAGCAAAAAAGGGTGAAGGTTCTGGAATGCTCATGACAGTCTCAGTATGCATTTGATGGTGAGCTTTCTGTTTAAAAATCCCAGCACTGCCAACAAGCAGTGATAGCTTGTGTATAATTGACTAATGAAGGTGCTCTTTTCTGTTAGCAGAAAAAGATTGGGGTATGTCTGTCCTTTAAGTTGTTTGGAACTACTGGTACAAAGATCCTTTATAGAGCATAGCTCTTTTCATCTTTTGAAAGAAATCAGTACACCCCATGCATGTGTAGTAGGGGGCTGATTGTGACTACTGGAAGTCGCAGTTGGAACCTGAAATCAAGATGGCGGAACAAGATGGAAGACAGTGTTGAGGACTTTAACCACAAGCCTACAGAGCACTTATACCCCCTTCCTGCCCCGGCCAATTTCCAGCTTTCAGCGCTGTCACACTTTGAATGACAATTGCACGGTCATGCAACACTGTACCCATATGAAATTTGTATCTTTTTTTTTGTGACAGATAGAGCTTTATTTTGGTGGTATTTAATCACCTCTGGGTTTTTTATTTTTTCTTAAACAAACCAAAATCCACAGAAAATTTAAAAAAAAAAAAAAAAAATGTTTTTTTCTTAGTTTTTGTTATAAAATTTTGTAAATAAGTGATTTTTCTCTTTCACTGATGTGCGCTAATGAGGCTGCAGTGATGGGCACTGATAGGCTGCACTGATGGACACTGATAGGTGTCACTGATAGGCACTGATGAGGAGGCACTGATGGGCATTGACAGGCATCACTGATGGGTACTGAAAGGCAGTACTGATACATGGCACTGATATATGGCACTGATAGGTGGCACTGACTGGCACTGATAGGTGGCACTGACTGGCACTGATGGATGACACTGAAAGGCAGCTCAGATGGGCACTGATATGTGGCATTGATGTGCACTGGTAGGCACTGATATGTGGCATTGATTTGGCACTTATGGGCACTGGCACGAGGCACTGATGAGCACTGACACAAGGCACTGATGGACACTGACAGGTGGCACTGCTGGGGCTACACTGATCATCAGGGCACACTGATCACCAGCTCTCCTCTTGAGCTGTCAGCGTGACAGCTCGAGAGGAGTGAAATGCCGATAACCGGCATTTCCCTGTTTACATGTGATCAGCTGTGATTGGACACAGCTGATCACATGACCGAGCCAACATCTTCGGCTCTGTCCGTGATCGGTGATCCGCTGTGTCCGAGGGACACAGCGCACTGCCGATCGCCACACTGCGCTCTCCCTGAGCCACACATGCGCGGTGAGAATGGGAGGCCGTCATATGACGTCCCCCCAGAACGAGAGAACCACCTTGCGCCCGTCATATTACTATACAAAGACAGTGCTGGACTATTTTGGCTGGCATGTAAATGTTTTGTAAAAATCAGTAGCCACTTTTACTTTTTGCATTTCCTGCTGAAGTTTCTCTTTAAGAGTATCTAAATATTTGACTGTCCATATACTGGCAACAGCTTCACATTAAAATCACTGAGACCTGATTCAATCTAAGCCATGTTGTCTGTAGCAAACCCAACCACATTTTGTCATTTTAAAAAGGAATGCCTGGATAAGAAAAGCTCTATATTTCTTGTTTTTTTTTTCTTTAGTATTTTGGGGGTCCTTACAATCAGAAAAATGTTAAGTGTATTTTCACAGGAATGGTTGTTTTTTGACAATACACTTGACTTACCAGTTTTTAATTGTAAACAATATTTAGCAGCATTTTTGTAAACTAGTTTCGCAACTGAATAATAGTGTATTGCTGTATTGAAGATCAGGTACAGCCAAAGCAGATTTCAGCTGAAGGATAGACTTGCATAAATTACATGTTCTCTCCAGAAATATGAATCTGAATTCAAAATTTATTTTAGCTCCCAAAACAGTCTATCCTAGAAAGATAAAGTCCACAATTCTCTGGCAATATTCATACTGAATAGTAGACTTCAAGCTAGGAAACAATAAGTGACTGGAAGGAAAAGCTAATGTTTTGACAATCCATCATTACAAATAATGAACTTAAAGCTTAGAATTCCAAAACTATTTAACAGAGTACATATCTGGAGTGGCTTTGAGTTCTACTGATTGCCTGATGGAGATGTAACTGCTGAAATAGCCTGGAATAAAGAAGTTATAAATAAAGGCAGCGAGATCAGCAGGTCACACAGCATAACACAAGAATAAGAACAGTTTCTCTGCCTGGGGAGGAAAGCTCTCCAACATAATATCAGTTTAATGAATCCCTCTCAGCGTATCTAATATCGGAAGATAATTTGGACTCCATCTTGGAGAATAGTCTCCTTATAGACCTGCCTTGGAGCAAATCTTCTCGGCAAGCTTTTACTGTTAACACCAGTATAATTAAATAAAAGTACACATTGTATTTGATTACCCCATAGTGTTAAGGCCAGATACAGTAACTTTTTTTGGGGTGGGGGGCAGAAGTTTGGTACAGTTCATGCATACACACTGAAAAATGGCTTCCACTATTATGTTGATATGAGGAGGTTAATAAAGATTCCTCTCCCAATTTTACCTATTTACAAATTTACCAATATTAATTGGACCTCTGTGGTCTGACAATTGATGTAATACAGTTGACTATTACAAATATTTACACAAGAACACCAAAAACTAACAAAGGTTTCCCTCATTAGGGAAAGCCAAAGGCTGCAATATGTCCTACACACAGAGACAAATGTCAGCCATTATACTTGAATGTTAAATCATGAACTATAAGGAACAGACTTGGAATACTGTTACAACTACGCTTTATGCGGTGGACTACAAATTGGTAATTTCTGGTTTTCAGTAAAATTATTTTATTTGCATAAAAAAAATGGTAAATGTGGAACTGTGTAGTAAACACGCACTTCAAACTAAGATAAACCATAGGTGCTTGGTGTAGTGTGGATAATCATAGTCAAGTATGGGGTTGCAGCATAGACTGAATGCTCTCATATATATTTATTATTTATTGCAGATACTTATATAGCGCCGTCAATTTTCACAGCGCTTTACACACATATATATATATATTGTACATTCACATCAGACCCTAACCCTAAAGGGGCGTACAATCTAAGGTCCCTAACTTACATCCATACATACACATACTAGGGCCAATTTAGACAGGATCCAATTAACCTACCAGCATGTCTTTGGAGTGTGTATGTGTGTATATATACTGTATATACAGTGGGTAAAAAAAACTATTGAACATGTCTCCATTTTTCTTGGTAAATATATTTCTAAAGGTGCTATTGAAATGAAATTTTCACCACATGTCGGTAAAAACTCATGCAATCCATACGTACAAAGAAACCAAAACAAATAAGTTTATAAATTAAGTAATGTGTAAAAAAATTGAACGACACAGGGAAAAAGTATTGAACATGCTAACTGAAATGTATGTAATACTTGATACACAATCCTTTGTTGGTAATTACATCTTCAAGATGCCTCCTGTATGGAGAAACTATTCCCATGCATTGTTCAGGTGTGATCTTGGCTCATTCTTCCACAAAGTCTTCAAATTTTGATGGTTCCTTGGGCCTCTTCTATGAACTCTAATCTTTAGTTCTTTCTATAGATTTTCTATTGGATTCAAGGCAGGTGATTGGCTGGGTCATTCTAGCAGCTTTATTTTCTTTCTGTGAAACCAGTTGAGAGTTTCTTTGGCTTTGTGTTTGGGATCATTGTCTTGCTGAAATGTCCACCTTCACTTCATCTTTATCATCATGGTAGAAGGCAGCAGATTTTTATCAAGAATGTCTTTGTATTTTTTTTAACTGTTTGAACTCAACACTTTTTCAAATGGGTACATGTCCTCCGGCAACCTCAGTGGTTGTGGGAGTGCTGAGACAAAATGCGTTAATTGGTAATACCTCCATTTGTCTAATATGAAAAATAAATCTTTTTTACTCTTTAATTCTTGAAATGTGTACAACTTCTCCTAATCTACTATATCCTTTAAACATGCATTTCTATCTTTAAACCATTTCCCCAAAATATTTTCTTTCCCTGGTGGAAAATACTCCATTCCCACCAGGGGAATCAATATTGAATTATACTTCCAACCCATTTACTTGTGCATTGCATCCCAAACTCTTAATACCTTCCGTGTCAACATGCTAATATTTCGTCCATTGAACAAAACTTTTGTGGTATCCAAATAATCCTCTGTAATTTTGCATTACTTAATATACCTTCCATTTTTACCCAACATTTCCCTTGTGAATTATATGTCCAGTCCTTTCCCTTTATTTTTACACAAGACCGCATAGTTAATTCTTGGTTTCCTATTAGCCCATGTAAACTTGAGTATAATTTTTTTTATTATCCCAAAGAAAGACCCTGGTATATGTACTGGGAGCATGAGGAATTAATACAAGAATTTTGATACTATCACCATCTTTACCAAGTTTATACGGCCTATCCAGGAAACCCAACCCCATTGATAGTCTCCTCAACTCATCCTTTATTTCATTTATTAATGGGATATAGTTTGCCTGGTATATGTTCTTTATTGAGGGAGTTAACTTTATTCCCAGATAACCTAATTACCTATCCCTCCATGTAAATGGAAAGTTACATTGTTAGTCTGGCTGGAAAAAGACAAAAGTCCATCCAGTTCAACCATTAAAAAAAAAAAAAGTTATAATCCTATACCCACAGTTGATCCAGAGGAAGGCAAAAAAAACCCCCAGCAAAGCATGATCCAATTTGCTCCTGCAGGGAAAAAAAATCCTTCTTGATCCACCGAGAGGCAATTGGATATTTGCTGGATCAACTTTACCTATAAATGCTAGTATCAAGTTATATTCTGTGTATCTAAGAAAGAATCCAGGCCTTTTTTAAAGCAATCCACTGAGCTGGCCAGAATGTACTCTTGAGGGAGTCTATTCCACATTTTCACAGCGCTCACTGTGAAGAAACCTTTCTGTGTATGAAGATTAAATTTCTTTTCCTCCAGATGAAAAGAGTGTCCCCTTATCTTCTGTGATGACCTCAGGGTGAATAGCTCTACACCGAGTTCACTATACAAACAACTGATGTATTTATACATGTTGATCATATCCCCCCTTAATATCCTCTTCTCAAAGAGAGAATACATTCATTTCCTCTAATCTTTCCTCATAGCTGAGCTCCTCCATGCCTCTTATCAGTTTGGTTGCCTTTCTCTGTACTTTCTCCAGTTCCCCAATGTTCTTTTTGTGAATTGGTTCCCAAAACTGAACTGCATATTTCAGATGAGGAATTACTAATGATTTGTACAGAGGTAAAATGATATATATCTCTCTCTCTGGAGTCTCTACCTCTTTTAATACAATAGAGAGATTTTAATACAAGAAAAGTCTTTATATTTAAGATCTGCTTCTCTATCTTTGAGACATTAAAATTCAAACTCTGTGACTTTGAGGGGTTTATTTTCAGGTATGATAACTCTCCATAATATTTTAATAATCTCATTAATATTAGACAATGTTAGTCTGGGATTCACAATATAAAACAGAATGTCATCTGCATATGCTGCTACCTTATGCTGTACTTCACCTATCTTAATTATCTACACTCTTTCTTACCATCGCTAAAAGTTGTTCAGGGGATATAACAAATAACAAACGGGGATAATGGACATCCCTGTCTTGCGACGTTATACATTTTAAAAAACCATGAAAGGGACCTGTTTACCTTTATAGCTGCTGACGGGCCATTATAAAGCCCTTTTATTCACGTTAACATTTTGGGCCCTAATCCTATAGCCTCTAGCGTATCTATCATAACTTCCCAATCTACCCTGTCAAATGCTTTTTCAGCATCAATCGACAGGATTATTGATGGCAACTTTTCTCTCCTTGCTTTTTGTAGAAGGGGCAATGATCTTAAACCATTGTCGCTCCCTTCTCTGCCAGGAATAAATCCCACTTGGTCCAAATGTATCCATTCCAGCATCAACTCTCTCATCCTGGTTGCTAACACTTTAGCGTATAATTTTGTGTCTATATTAGTAAAGATGTAGGTCTGTAGCTAGCGCATTGTGAGC